ACCTCGTGAGTTACCACGAAAAGTGCCTCGGCGGTTTTGGTTACCTCGGTTGTTTGATGGCCGGGAGGCATAGTAAGCCTGGGGCTGGGTGTTTTGTGAGCCCATAGGATTTAGTTGACACCCTAATTGAGAGGCTAACAGCTGCAGGTTGTTAAGTTGAGACTGAATAACAGCAAGATCAGGTAAAGAAGTAATAGAAGTACCTCCGGTTGTGGCAGCATAGACCTGTGGTGAAGTGATACTAGATAAGGAGGCTGATTTGTTAATCATGTAGTCATGGTCAGACAAGAGGGCATGCAGATCATTAAAAGTGACCGGTGGTTGACGTGCCAAGAGGTTTGATTTCAAACGATTGTACTCATCTCGTAAACCTGAGATGGTGAGCATAACTAAGTCTTTTTCCTTCATAGGTTCGCCAATGTTGGCGAGAGCTAATGCATATTCCATTGCACGACTGAGATATTTAAGTGAAGTTTCGTCTCCTTTCATCTCTATGCGAAGTAGTTGTGTCTTTAACGTGTATTCACGAGAGGCAGAATTTGGTGCATATGCACGTTCTAAGGAAAGCCAAAGATCTCTAGAAGTTGTACCTTGAACATGTTGGAAGGATGCTTCTGAAATTGTCGACAGAATGATCATTCTAACATGTGCATCGTTAGCAATCCAAGGGAGATAACTAGGGTTATCAGTTATTGCATCTCCTGTTTTAACTTTCTGTTCAGGGCGTTGAATGGTGCCATCTACATAGCCAATTAGATGGTTACTAGTTAAGAATGGACTATATTGACATTATTATGAATAGATAGGATTCTATTAAGAATGAGTTGCCATATGGCAAATATGGAAAAGTTTCCATAATGGGAGTTGGATATTAAGAATCTATGTGTAGGTTAGAAACTTTTATGCGAGAAGGATGTTCAAAGGAATGTACTTTGAATATGAGACTTCATATCTATGGAGTTGTCTTGCAACAATCTCCAATAGAGCACTTTGTAATATCATTGACAAAGTCTTTGTGACTTTGGTGCTATGACGTTACAAAAGGATCATTGTGTATAATGTTAGAATCTAACACATTCTAATAGTGGCAATAATTTGGTATTCTTACACTTATAATAAGGATTAGGAATTGTGAAATGAGTGTCATCGGAAGTGTGTTCAATTGATCTGTTTCACAAAGTAAGGACCATAGGTAAACATAGTGTGCATGCTTGGAGCATGGGATGACTATTGTTTCAATTCAAGTATTAAGTTGATTATCTGAAACATTATACAATGAATAATGTGTAATCAATATGATGACTAAATAATAAGTGTTTTATTTATACTCAAGAGTTTGAGGCCATATTGGATTCGATTATTCGTGTGTTTCACTTCGCATGTTTTGACTTCCCGAATAACTAGGTTATTCAAACATCCACGGTCAATCATACTTTGGAAGTAGGTAATGAGGTAAGACTGTCATGAATCCGACTATAGATTGTCTAAAGTGTTTAGACATAACAAAAGTATGCTACAATATTCATGAGTGCTCATGAAATAAGATTTGAGTATTGGATTAAACCCACGCTCACGTGAATCACTTCATGGATTTTATCACGAGTGATTGTGAGACGATAATATCTTATATTCTTGAAACGAAGAGATATGAGTTATTGTTTACAAGTCAGTTGCACATTGATAATACGTAAACGCACCAGTAACTTGATGTTATAAAACGTATTGTTGTGTGTGATTTGATGAGTAAATAGTGCAAGCATATGAGTCGAAGTTTATCCGTTCCTTTTACCAAAAGTGGGATAAAAGCGATATATGTGGGCCCCTCGATGATTTAGTGATGACCCCTTAAGCGCTTGGCCAAGCCTTGACTAAGTTGATGTGTTCAACTGAAGTCTATTGTCAGTCGTCTTAAATCGGAAATTGGGAAACAACAGATAGACAGAGAGAATGATTATAATCCATGTCTTATGTCTATACGATATGGGGAAGCCCATAAGATTTCGTCCATGGGCTCTAAGGAAGGAGTTCATGGGCTGCTTGTTGCTTAAGGTAGGTATTAGGGTTTCCACTTGAAAACCCTAGCAGCCACAACTATATATAGGACCCCATACAAGGGGATTTTCAGCCTAAGCATTCAAGAAAGAAACCCTAGCTGAAATCCTTCTCTGCTATGTCATCCTCCTTGCATTGGGTGTTTGTGACTCCATTAGAGGTGCAACACTTGGGGCACTAGGCTTTCAGAAGTCAAGATTAAGAAGGATTAAACTTGTTATTGCTACACTATCTAATTATAACATTGAGTTTAAAAAGTTTTCACCATCTAAACAAACATAAATGTGAATATAAACTACTTTTCACAATTATATATTTTTATGTTTGTCCTTGTGGGTGGTTTTATATGAACCGATAAGTTGACAATGTTGACTTTCAGCTTTATATTGAATAATATTTGAGTTTTTGACTCTTCAATTGACTGCCTTTTTATGTTATATTATGTATGCAACACAATTATAAATATTATTTCAAGATATGAAAGATAATTGGATAGATTTGTCATGTATATTGCTAATATAGGAACAAATGAAAGAAATATGCTATAAAACCAACTAAAAACAATATATTGTTTATATATTTGTCAACCTGTCCACCGGACGGGTATAACACTAGTTATATAATGTTGTAAAACATGGCGGCAGCATCTCACGAGGACAAATAGACAAAAACCTAGCCAAAGTATTATCTGATGTTTAGAAAATTATTATTTAATTATTATTATTTTTGTTGCCAACAAACCATATTTAGGCTCCTATAAAGTTATCGGTCTTATCATTATCAAGGAGGAAGAAGGAGAAATGATATGTAAGGAGGGTGTTTTTTGTCAAATGCAACCTATTATAACTTGTTCCACCCTTTTGGGTAGGACTAAAATTTTATAAAATAGTCTCATTTGACTTGGCAATAACGGATATTGTTTTTTGTTCTAGGCATGCCAAATGCTACTCAAAAGGACATTGTTCTATCTTATCTCGTTTAGTCTCACCCGCCAAACGCTACCTTAAGGTCCAACAATATTTGTATGAGTCTCCAAACAAATCAAGTCATTAATTAATTAAAATTCGAGGATGTCAATATCCCACCACGAAACAATTTGTCTCCAATTCGCAAGAGCTATGCGATTAGGGCCAGCCCAATACATAACGTAAGCCTTGTGGAAAAAAAAAGAGACCAAAAACTATTACTCTCTCCGTCCCAAAATTATTGTCCACAGACAAAAAACACAAAGATTAAGAAAACATTAATTACCACTACTTTATTAAATGAAATGACAATTATACTATTTTTTTGCATTTAATTTCATCATTTCGTTGCATTTAATTATATAGTAAGTTAACTAATAATGAAGGATATTTTGGTAAAAAATATATTTATTTTTAGAAGTAGACTATTATTTTGGAAAAAAAAAACATGAACTATTAATATGGGATGGAGGGGATATGAAATAGTAATTGGGTAGAATTTTTTTAGAAAAACTAACTTATATACCCATGTAAATAGTAATTTGCTAGATTATTCTATTTAAATTAAAAGAAGTCCATTAAACAATAATTTGAAAGGATTCGAACAAAGTTTCCAATGGTAAGGAGACTTCATTTCCTAGTACCACTGCGAGACCTAATCCCATCACATATGGCAAAAGTACAAGTCAAAGTATTTTGTAGAGCTGACAAAAATCGATCCAACCAACCAATCCAACCCAAAATTAGTAGGTTGGGTTGAGATTTTCAACTCATTTAAGTTAAATGAGTCAACCCATCTAACCCATTTAATAAAATAGGCTGGGCCATGTAAAAATTATCAATTTGTTTTCAACCCATCAACTCATTTAACTTTAATTTATAATTAATTTAATAATTATTTATATATTATCATGTATTAATCTAAGTATTAGTTTATAAATTACAATGTTCCTATTATTATTTATGTTTTTAAAAAATGGAATCCTAATTCCTATATTTTTTCTTGGCACCGACAACATTAGTCACTTTCCAAAATAACACTAGTCACTCTCCAAAATACTTAGAAATTACATATCTTTAATTGAGATTGTGCTTTTGTCATACTTTGAAATTTTTTTTAAATCTATAACTAATTTAAATGGTGTAATCTTTAGTTAATTTATTTATTTATTTCTATTTTAAATGGATCAACCCAAGTTTAACCCATTACTTAATAGGTTGGATTGAAAACTACATAAACAGATCAACCCGATGACAACCCATTTATCTGAAAGATTGGATTGGATTGAAAATATCAACCCATTTAAATAAACAGGTTGGGTTAGATTGAAATCTTTAACCCAATTAATAAATGGGTTAAACCCGAACCCAACCCATTTTGACCCATTGCCAACTCTAGTATTTTGTAGTGGACATGTATTTCGCAACACTTAGCACTACGAAATACTTTGTTGGAAAAAATCATTTCACATCAAAAGGCATCTCACAATATAATACAACAAAACAAACAACTTGTGATCTAGTTTAAATTATATTGATTTCTCTTAAACCTAAGTTAACTTCATCACCCTAAAACCAAACAAAACTAACAACTTATGATCTAGTTTGAATCATATATACGCCACACACGGTTGCAATAGACTTCAATTCCTAGAATTGATTGGTTTGTTCAAGTCACATACAAATTTTCTTTTACTTACAAATACATGAGCTATACATATGTGTGTGTGTTCTTTTACTTCAATACATAAAAGAAATCAACATATATAGTTGAGGAAATGTGGGTTTTTCCTGTTAATGTAAAGCTTTTTACTTGGATATTTTTCATACATCATTTATCAAACAACACTTAATGGGAAAAGAAAAGACTGTTATGGATGTGTAAGGTTACATACATGTCTATTTCTAGAGCATAAACGAGAATGTTGTTGAAAAGTTGAAATAGACAATATTCCTATTCGAATAATATATATGAAGACTAACCAGCAAGAGGGTTAGCATGGATTGTGATACGGTTGATCCTAATCTCTGCCAAAGGTCGATCCCCAGCTCCTGTTGGAGTCTACACAAAATAAAATAAAAATCAAATTTGTATATATGTATCTATGAGTATTTAGATTTTAGATATAATAATACAGAAAAATACAATGTACTTTTTACTATTAAATCAATTTAGCAACTTAACTATTCTTTTGCTGGGATTAAAAACATTAGGCTTTCATAAATGTTTTTTAGAAACATTTTTCTCTGTTACTCGTTTGGAAAAAAGGTTGAAATATTGAAAAACAAAATGTATTTTTGCAATTATATCAATTTCGCCACTAAACTATTCTTTTATTTTTTTTAAGATAAGATTATTATTAACAATTCAATGTATAAAAAATAATGGTTTCGTAGCTAGATTGATGTATATACCTATGTGTGTTGTGTATTTAAGTGTGTATGTATATGGCAAAATACAGAAAAACACAACGTGCTTTTAGTTTTACTATTCTATTGATTTAGCCACTTAACTAATTTTTCTAGGGATTAAAACATTATACTTCCTTTACCTTTTTTTTTTTTAGAAAAAAACATTTTTCTATGTTGCTTGGTTTTGGAAAATGTTGAAATATTATCGATTTAGCCATTGAACTATATATATATATATATATATATATATATATATATATATATATATATATATATATATATATATTTTATGATTATTATTAATAGTTCAATGGAAAAACCTACAAAAAATAATAGTTTAGTAGCTAAATCGATATATAGACCCATGTGTGTTATGTATTTAAGTGTGTATATATGGCAAAACACAAAAAAATAATAATAATAATTGTAGTAACACACATGGAAAAATACAAAAAAATAAATAATTTATCGATTAAACCAATGTAATTTCTTTACCTTTTTATAAATAAAAAAAAATTTCTTGGTTACCAGGTTTTGAGAAAGATTAAAATTTAGAAAACAACAATGTGCTTTCACCAATTATCGATTTAGCCACTAGACTAATCTTTTTTCCATGATTATTGTTAAGGAGTTTAATGGCTAAATAAATTATAAAGTAATAGTTTAGTGGCCAAATTGATACAATGATGAATGCATGTTGTGCGTTTCTGTATTTTGCCCTTTGCCCTTAATGCGATATCAGGTAACTTAGTAAAAATAAAATTCATGATCAAAAAATGTATGATGGATTAATCACTACAAAACTTTAAGTGAATTTACCTTTTCCATAAGATCAAGAACTTCAAATCCATGAATCACTTTGCCAAAAATGGTATACAATCCATTCAGATGCGGTTGCTTAGCGTAAGTGATGAAAAACTGGCTCCCATTAGTGTTTGGCCCGCTATTGGCCATTGATAGCATACCTCTTGCATTGTGCTGAAGTAAGCACAAAAAGAATAAAAAAAAAAAAGTCAAAGGCATTAAAAAGATTACTGAAGATTGCTAATAACACTTCAAATTTTGCAAGTGGAGTGTATGTTTATAATAAAAGCAATTTTCAAGCTATAGTCTATATATACTTAGATAGATTTTTCCTAATATAATGTTCTTTGTAATAAAATAAATTGAAAAAGTACAATGGTATAATTGGGTAGACTTTTCAAATTACATTGCTTTAATAAGAAAAAAAAGCTGAAAGTCAGATGCTATAATGCACAAATAAATGAAACTATGATGCTATTTTTAGCAATTAGCCCTTTATAATATCAGTACTTAATGTCAACTCAAATAATCATCAATATATCACTATGAGGCTGCATTTGTTATATGATTCAGAATTGAATGATACGAGCTTTATAAGGCTATTTCCATTAATGAGGATGAGAAAGGGTGTTCCTTTTGACTTAACGCAAAAAGAATGACTTAATAAAGAAAGTCAGAAAAATGAGGGTTTCCCTGACTTTTCACAAATTTGTTCTCATTTACTTTTTCCTTCCATTTCCCCAAAAGTGCATCATTTTCTTAAACATTACTTACAACACTTAATAGAAATATTAAAGAAACATGGACTTTTTAATAAAGATGAATAGATCCAACATTGAAATTTTACCTTGAGAGAGTCACGTATCTCGTCATTGAACTTTTTACCCCAAATACTTGTCCCTCCTTTGCCTGTTCCTGTGGGATCTCCGCCTTGGATCATAAACCCCTTTATGTTTCTGTGAAAAATGGTGCCATCATAGTATCCACTTGCACATAATGCAAGAAAATTCTGTTCACATCAAGTATTACAATTCCATTAACAAGGATGCATGTTATCTGTTATGTCAGAATTCCTACTGCAAGTAGTATTAAATACGACAAAGAGTAAGTTGTCATTCAATACTATCAATAAGTCACACGTTGGGATTGTTAATAAGCGTAACCTAACAATCAAGTCTACTCAGGGTTGAAGAAATAGGGTTTTGAAAAGAAGTGTTGAGGGATTTGGTTATAGAAATTCGAGATTTTAGTGAAGAGAAAAAAATCGAGAGTGTACGTCTACCACAGAACTAACCTCTGATGCTTTAGGTACTTCATCACAAGCGATTTCGCACTTGATGTCGCCGAGATTAGTGTGAAGCGTAACTGACTACAGAAATAGAAACACAAAAAGATTACACAGAGAACGAAGCTTCTTTTAAACGCAATGTAATGATGCAGATTATTTGTTCGACGAAATGCTCAAAATGAAAAAAGAAGTTCAACAAACCATTTAGGTCTTCGCGTGCGATTCTGTGGTATTCGAACGTTTAATCGTTAGCTTCCTTTGCTTGAAGCGTCGATTTCGTTGGGTGGGTTTTACGGGGGTTCGTCGTTCGTAAAGCTATTGTCGAATGGTTGGGTAGACTCTTCTGGACCTAATAAACTGCGTGTAACAAAAAGATTTACAGGTTAATATTTACACTTCACCCCCTCGTGATTTTGGAAAGTGACTAAATACCACCCCAACAAGCAAGCAAGCATTCTTTTACTCTCAACAACAACATATTTACATTTTTTGCCGATAGTTCTAACACGAGACTCACAAAATGTACTTTTTTTTTACTCATAATAACAAAAGGTATGAATTAAACTAAAGATATTTTCGAATAGAAGTATTATATGAAATTGGAGTTAAGTTGTAAAAAAAAAAAAAAAAAAAAACTAACCATTATAAATTTGAGGTTTTTTAAAACAACTTATTTTTGGGTTATTTTCTTTAATATTAACTTAAAATGTGGTTAGTTTGGTTAATATCCCTAATAACAATGTATTTACATTAATATTTACATACTTAAATTTTTCACCCATAATAGCAACATACTTAAAATTATCTACCAATATATATCAAATATCAATATGAAATCTAATACAGGTGGCATTTTACAAGTTTTAGGCTACATATTGCTGTTATCATATTAGAAATGAAAGTACTTCAAAAAAAAACCTAACCTTGGTGTATGCTGACGTGGCATTATTCCAATTGATCAAATGGCTGCTGTTAGTCTCCTCTTACCAGATCTTTCTAGTTCTTCCTGCAATTATGGAAAAAATGTTTGTTAAGGTAAAAACTAGTTCCAAATTTATTGGAATAAAAGCCAAGAAGTTTGTCTTCTAGAAGGGCACCCACAACAATTTCCGGAAACAACAACACCACCTACCTCTGCCCATTTGACCAAAGGCAACCATCATCAGACTTCCGATCACCAAAACCAAAACTCCGGCAACCCTGCCGGAGATCCGGTGAGTTCCCTGGCTGGAGTTTTGGGCATCTTCCTGAGAAATTTTAGCAGACTGTTGGTTTATTTTAGCAATCAAAAGTTTTTTTTTTTTCTAGTTTAACCACTGAGTTTTTTTAAAAAAAAAAAAAAAAGACACTCTGAGTTTTTTCCATTAATGAGTTGCGAAAAGCAAAAGGAAGATTATTTTTTAGGTTAAAGATGTTTTTTTTAAATCAAACTTTCAATGGTTAAATCGAAAAGAAAATTTTCTTTGAGTGGTTAAACCGAAAAAATACTAAAATATAGTGGTTTTTTATAGAATTCAAAGTTTTATGTAGTAGTTTTTTAGGAAAAAAAAAAAACTCAGTGGTCAAAGCAGGATTTTTTTTTCTGTGCTTAAACCAAAAAAAAAAAAACTACAGTGGTTTTTATGGAATTTGCCATTATAATAAAATAATAAACCGGTAAGCTTTAAGATGATGAAGAATAAAAACCTGAGCCTTTTTTTCTCTAGATTTGCGTAGTAGCTTCAGTTCTTTCATTCTTGCTTTCCTTTTGGCGTCTTTCTTTGCCTAAAAAAAATTGAATAAGTGTGTGGATTAGTTATAACCACAAGAGACACATATAGCTTGTAACTTATGTTCAAATAATTCATGTATTTTGTGTTTTAAAGGGTATTTAGATGTTTAATAAACAGTTGTTGAGTTGAATATTGCAATTCTCGTTGAAGGAAGAGAACACAAAAAGTTATGTTCCACCACATCTAGAATAAAGACAACATAGGTGGATCACCAATAAAGGTGATAATTAGGACAATAAGGAGTTGTTTATATTTGCTGATTGAGACAGTTATCTGACTGAGTCAAGGTCTAACTGAGTAAGACTTAGCCCTAAATCTGACTGAGTAAGAGACATTTTAGAGGAGTCAGAGGCTTCTAAGTGTGGTATCAAACAGTCTGTCTGAATCTGACTGAGTCAGACCCAACCTCTTACCAGACTCAATAAGAGGCATATCAAAAAGCCCCTTATCTACATTTGTAATAGTTAGATGTGGATATTGATATTGTCATGTATGCATATGTAGATATCTCATATTTCATGTAATATATTCAAGTAATAAACTTCATTTTGTTATAATAATCCGATTATAGAAATAAAGGCTAAATACAAGAAATAGCAATATACTTTCATTTATTTATTTTTATTAAAGCATCCTACTTTCATTAACTAGATCAATAGCTTTTTTGGAAACTCATCTCTTGCTTGCTTCTTTCTATTAAATCATTGTAATTTCAACTCTCTTATTAAAGCATTATCATTTGGAAAATCCACCCAACTATAGCATTGTACTTTCAATTTTTTTTTCTTATTAGGGCAATACACTTTGAAAATCTACCCATTTATAGCATTGTGCATTTGTGCTTTCATTTGTTTTTCTTATTAGGGCATTATACTTTGAAAAATCCACCCAATAATAGCATTGTACTTCCATTTTTTCTTATTAGAACATTATACTTTGAAAACAACAACACTACTACAATCAAGTAAATTTTTCACAAAACAACATTATCAATATCATAACATAAGAAAGAAACAAAAGTAGGTGCTATAAATATAATAAATAAATCAATGAAAGTAGGTTGCTAATCCATGCATAAAACTAACCTGCTTAGCATTCTGAGATTCTTCCATTTCTTTTGTCAGAGGACATGGCACTTTAGCAGCCTCCCAATCCCACTTATCAAAATTCATTGCCATAAAACGTCTAAATGCATTCCTAACTTCCTTATTAACTGCAACCTTATAAGGAGTTTTCCCCCTTTCATCCAACACACAAGGATCCAAACCTTGTTCTAATAATTCCATAACTTTATCCACATTTCCAGACTTTGCAGCTTCATGTAAAGGTGATAACATAACAAAAACATCTTCAGAGATATCACCATTTTTTGAATTATCCATCAATTTTTCCTTTTCAAGTGTGAAGGTTGAATCTTTTTTGATGATTGGGAGGACTTTTTCTTGATTTGGTTCTGTGGAGATTTGTGTTAAGATGTTGTAGAGTCGTTGGGCTTCCTTGAATGATGGTTTTCTAACAGTTAATGGGATGTGTTTGATGATATTTTTTTGACAAATGAAGAGTGGATTTTCACCATTGAATAGTAGTTTGTGGTTGTGTGAGGGGGCGTGAATGAAAATAGAAACAGAAGAATTGAAATAAGGCTTCCATGCATCGAGTAGCTCTTGGATGTCCTGAATTTAAGTGAAAATTAGTCGAATGATTAAAGAAACAAGAAATATAAAATATGTGATAAAATGTAGAAACTAGAAAATACTATGCAATTGTCAAATCCTACATCTTTGCTCTTTTAATTGTACTACCATTTCATTTTGAATTTGATAATATATATTCAAAATTTCAGGAAGAACAATAATTGTGTCAAAGGATAATTAGGTATTATAAATAAATAAAAGAAAAAAAGAAACGGTGATATACTTGTTTTAGATAACAATATGAAAATAGTTCATGTCATGTCGAAGAAAATAGTACTTTTGATGGACCCTGGATAAACAATATCTAAAAATATTTAAGTAAATGACAACACACTTAGCGAAATGGAAGGAAAAATAAAAGGAGGGAATTTTTAAAAAAAAGTTATGACTTAACAGGGAAAGCCTCATTTTCCTGACTTTATGTATAAAGTCTTTTTTTTTTAATGCAATAAGTCAAAAAGCAACACCCATATATAGTGTATCAGATTAAGTAATGTCCCCATTGAGTCCATTAAGTGAAATAGAAATAACAGTTTAGTGATATTGCAAACAAAGTACAAACATTGGTTATTCCTGTTTAATACCTTCTTTAAGGCATGTTCATTGTGTCGCCTAATAGAAGCTCCTGCAGAATTTGAAAATTTGCCAATACCATCTTCTGATGATTGTTTTTTACCAGACTTTGCCCTTGTAACATATCTACATGAAACAAGTGGGCATTTTTAGCATTTTACCCAAGATAACTCTGACTGTTTGATAAGCAAAAAGGTTAGTGAAGGCATTAAACCAAGAATTTTAAGTAGAAGTAAAACTATCTGTTTGGTTGGATGAAATGAAATGAAATGGCAAAGGAATGGGTGAATAAGTCATTATTCCTTGATCATATAACTTTCTCTTCTGTAAGCATGAAAATATCATTGATCCTTCTAATTACAAATTCCTAACTAGATATACTAATTATTTAATGATTGTGGTGTTGACAAGGATTAATTCGTTTCAAGCATATACAAATGAGGATATTATATGCAACTAAATTACATGAACTATATTTACAATCATGGAGGTAAATAAGGTACATATTTAGTTCTGGGCAAGGATGTATTAATTTTAAGCTCAATTATTTTTTGGAGGAAATTAAATAGATAAAGAACAGACCTGTGGAATGTTTTGTGGGCAACAATGGAGTTTCCATCAAAGACACACCCAACAAAATGCCCACCAGTAGCAAGCAACATAACTCTGAAACGGGTGTTGTTTCTAGGTTCATGGACCACATTCAGCAGTCTCTCAGTCACTTCCTTCACTGTCACACAAGGGGTATTATCGTCCTTTGTAAACCCATGTAAATCATGTTCAAAGAGAATTTTCTCAGAGTCACCAAGAAGCAAGCACTTCCAGAATGAAATCGTTTCTCCATTGGATAACTGCATAAAAATCTTCTGCTTCATACTTCCCAACAATCCCTTAGTTGAATCACTGAGGCTGTCAAATTCTCTGTTTTCTTCATTTTCTGAACCTGATATGCTTGATATATCATAATCTTTAACTATGGAATTGGAACTCAATTCATCAAAATCATCCTCCCTAACAGTATCCTTTCCAGCAATGCTTGACTTTATCTGAGATAATAAACATTATGCATATAGAAACAAAGTAAAATATCAGAGACTCTAGGAGAGGCACTATACTGAATTTTTTTTTTGTTGTATTCAAGTAAATCTTAAAGGAAAACTTATAGAATTTTAACCAGTAACACAATATTTGGCTTTAAATTCTTATACAGTTCAAATATGCAGTGGACAGTCTTTATAAATTGTTGAAAATCACAAACCTATAATAATTAATTAATCATACTTCATGAAGCATATGAAATTTCAATAATATGATATATACGAACTGCACACTTAATTAAGTTAGGTCAAGAGAATTTACATTGAAAAGATGAAAATCGGACTTGAAGTGAGACCGTTGATCATGAAGCGACTCAAAACTGGATTTACAAGTATTACACGTCAATCTCTCACTAGGACTAGCATTCTTCTCCGGCGCCACCTCTGTTTCTTCTACGGTTTTTCCCCGAGCAGTAGCGGGGTTGTTGGTGAGTTCAGGGGTTGAAAGCCATTCAACGAAACCGCAGGAATCAAAGAAATTCGACGGGAGTTCAAAAATTGAATAGTTTCTTCTTTTATATTCATTTTGTTTGCCTGAATTGGCGTCGGCGATACGGCGGCCGGAAGTAAGCTCCATTTCCATCTCAAACGCGATATCAGCCTGTGATGAGTGTTATCAATGTGGAAGGAATATCAACTCGTTTGATTCAGTGGTGTTTGGTTGTGAGTTTTAAAATGATTATGTTCAAAAATGGAAACAAAAACAAAACACAAATATCTTTTTATAATAATTATCTATCAATATTATTTCGGTAATCTTTCTTCGGCTTAATAGTAAAATTAATTTTTGGATGTGAGTTTTAAAATGATTATCTTCACACCTGGTCACAACAGTAATATTAATTTTTGGATGGTTCAGAGTTTAGATAGTAAAATCATATGGAACCGATTAAAAAAAAATACAAATTGCATGTATAGATCTGAACAAGGTTTGGCAAGCAAACGAAGTTGATACAGAATACCACATGTATGGATCGGATCGAAGCTTGGAGAAGCAATCGACGTTGAGACTGAATATGGTTCACGATTATTGTTTTTTTTTTAATTTAATTTGTATTGGGCTATTCATATTGGATTATATCTTAAACAAATTTGGACTATTAAAATATAAAATATGGGCTGTATCTTTTTTTTTTGCCAAAAATATTAGGGTAGTTCACCATAAATATTTAAGATAGGTCACAAATTTAATTTTATTTAATATTTTATAAAAAAATGTATAGGTGGGTCAAGTAACCCCCCTTGGTTACATTTACCCTCGCCAATGAATGAGTTGGAGGGAAACACCCATGTATGGATCTTATAGAGTTTCCCTCTCATAGATTTGAGGAGTGAGGTTTCACTCTGAGATATGTTGCTTTAAAAGTTACATCATCCAAGGTCACAAATCACAAGGAAACGTGTATGAAAAATCAATATGTGTTTGTACCATTCGTGTTTGATATTTTTGCTTTCCTTGCACGAAATCCCTTAATAGAGCCCAACAAGCTATGTATACTAATGCTATGACCCTTAGATTTTTACATGTAGCTTTCAAAAGAATTAGTTTTGCAATCCATAAAAGAATAGCAACAAAGTTTGTTGTCCATTTACCTTTCAGGTCGATGTAAAAACTTTTAGTTTAAATATAAATAAAATATAGATGTAAAAACTTTTAGTTTAAATATAAATAATATATAAATTATTTTAACGTGGCAGCTAAGAGGGGAAATAGGCTAACCCCTTCACATTTGAAAAAGTGGCTTCCCTAACACAAGCCATGACAATTTAAGCACCTAGACTACATACAAAAATTAAATGAAGAACCTTTTAACAAAAAACCTAATAGGTGGCATTAACGCTATTTTAAAATATATTATTTCATCGAAATTTATTAATATTTCATCGGACCTAAGTTGAGACTCGAGACCAACAAGCATGCGAGATATGGGAAGCAATCTTGCACATTTCAATTAATTTACTGCATTCACTTGTCTACTACATCATTAGGCTATTCTTTATTTATTAATCATTTAATGAATGAATTAACACAAACAACTTTAAGATCATGGCCGCTTCAATGAAAGGGGAAAAAGAGCAATCATCTGTATGCCAATGCGAGACATATGAACAGAATTGATAATTTCCCATGCATATTTTCCTATCTGCAAAGTAATGCAAAAACGTTTAAGATGCGTTTGGTTGTAGAAAATTGTTCTCATTTTCCAAGAAAATGTTTTCAGAAAATAGAGTTTAGTTTTCATTTTCAGTTTTCAAAGAAAATTTTAGAAAACATGTTTGGTTGGAACCGGTGGAGTTTATATTTTCCATTTTAGAAATTTAGAAAACTTTGAAAACTGTAAAAATCACTTTTCTAATTTACATACAATTTGGAAAATAGAAAATTTTTATTTTCTGGGAAAAAATTAAAAAACTGAATCAACCAAAGGCGTTTTCAAAATTTTCATTTTCATTTGAAATTTTTTATGGAAAACTAGAAAATATTCCCCAACCAAATGCACTCTTAGCTTCTATTTGTTGATATGAAAACTCAAATTTTGGAGAATCAGAGAACTCGATCTCGATCCTTGGATGAAAACAATCAGTGGATGAGATAACATGGACGGTTACAAAATGGTTAGCCCTTTACAAATCACATTTATTGGATGAATTTGATCTGAGGGTCGTGATTGAATTCCTTGGTTCTCTCCATTTAATGTACTTTACCCTCAAAAAATATGTATTCTTGTGACAACTCCTCAAGGGTTCCTGAAAATTTGATTATTATGGCCTAAAAACCAGAAAATTAAAATGAGAATTAGGTTTACTAAACAAGGTTACAGAAATTATTACTTTTATGGTAAATACAAAACCTTGTTTTATCGATTTAGCTCCTTTAACTATCTTTTGTAGTGATTAAACTATTATTATTTTTGACTGTTGAAAATAACTATTTTTCATAGTTACTGCCCTACTGGGTTTTGAAAAGGGATAAAATACAAAAAACAACATGAATTAGAAAATTACTTTCACCATTTAATCGATTTAGGCACTAAACTATTTAACTTTTATGATTATTCTAATAAGAGTTGGGTGGCTAAATCGATAAATATAAATTAGGGCTAAATTCAAGAAATAGCAACATACCTTCATTTATTTGTGTATTATAGTATGTCAAACTTTCATCTTTTTCTATTACAACACTGTACTTGCAATTTTTTTTCTTATTATGGCATTGTACTTTGAAAATTCTATCCACCCATAACATTGTACTTCCAATTTATTTTATTTTATTATAGCAGAAAGAATTGTTTTGCATTTGGTTTTACTCCATAGATTTTTCATAGTATGTTGTAATAGGAAGAAATGAATGTGAAATGCTATTATTACCAATTCAATGAAAGTAAGTTGCTATTTCTTGCAGTTAACCCTAAAAAAATAATAGTTCAATAGCTAAATTGCTAAAATGGTGAAAGTACATTATGTATTTTATATTTTTTTTTTTTTTTTTGTATTTTGCCTTGATATCAAAGTTAGGGAAAAAAGATTTTCTATAAACCGTCAAAAAAGCATAATGGTTTAATCACTACAAACAATAGTTAAATGGCTAAATCAGTAAGCAATGTGCTCATCCCCTAGGGGGCGTTTGGTTCCCAGAATGTTTTTGGAAGGAATGGATTGGGATTCAATAATAAAAAAGTTAATAATTATTAAATTATTATTTTATTCAAATATTTTTGTTCGTTACAAATATATATTGAACTATTTTATATTTTAATTTATTTCAACATATATAACAGTGGTATTTTAAAGATCGGAACCAAATCCCTTCCACCCTCCCCCTCGGTGAAATCCATAAAACATGGAATTTGAAGGATTCCAACGAAACTGAATTTCGTCCATTTAACAACCAGACATGCCACGGAATGGAATCTCAAATTCCAATTCCACCGGTATCCATGAACCAAACAAGTCATGGAATGGAATCTCGAATTCCGATTCCGTCGGAATCCCGAAACCAAACGCACCCTTACTTGTTCACTATTTTGCGTTCATGGGCCCATAAAATGAAAAACGTAACGAAAGAATAAAACCTGGAATTGCAACGATTAAGTGCGGAAATTAAGGATTGAAAAGTTTACGGAAGGGTCCATCTTTGCGGTCTTTTGCTGCTTCAGTCAAAGCAAGAAACCTTTTGAATCCAGTTGTGGCGGCACCTCTTCCAAGTGCCGCTGCTCTAGTAAGCACATCTTCTCTTGATGCGATACCTGCAGCTGAAGGTGGACCCGCCATGGGTGGTGGCACAGGAGTTGCCACCGCATGTGCCACCTGGACTGCTTGTGTGCCCATTGGTGATTCCGAAATCCCGGACCCGCGTTTGTTGAAATCATCCAGTATTGTTTGTTGGTCGGCCTTTTTTAGCCCCTTTGAAGTAAAAATGATTGTCAATGATATTGTATTAGTGTGTTTGTGATAGAGAATGTGTTATGGGCCTTATATAAATATATGGGTAAACATGGGGGACTTAATTGTAATATCTATTATTATCTATTTTGCACCCTATCTAGAATTATCTCAAGAATAGCATAAATAGAGTAGTGATAGGAGTAATGAGGCATTCAGTATTTTGTAAGCTTTGAGTATCGGCATTAGCTTGGGCAGGAGGTTTCTCTTGAGAGAACTTTTCTGATTAGGGCAGGAGGACAATCATTTGGATTTCCTTTCTGATTGTTTGAATCATTTGCTTAGATAGTTTCCAATTAATACAAAGGTCTCTTTTCAATTCCATTTACTGTTTTATAAGTTGTTGAGAATTCAAGTTATCAGTTTCTATCAATTTGGTTAGATGTTTAGTTTTAACTTTTAACTCTACTTTATAGATTATTTGATTATAATTTGGTTAGCCCCTGTGCAATAAAAATGTTGGTCAATGATTCTATATTTGATTGGCCTATAGGAATGGAATTAATTTTTTTTATGTATGTTTAGTTTTAACTTTTAAATCTACTTTATAGATTATTTGATTATACTTAATAAATTTCTTCTTTACAAAATGAATAAAAGCTCATTAAAACACCAATAAGATTATAATAATAAAGAAATTAGTAACTTTTAGAAAACAAGATTGTAATTTATTTAAATTACACAAATAAAAATAGGTTATATTATAATTTATAATTCCATTCCATGAGAACACAAAACACCCTTTGGCTAAGAAATGAAAATTTAAAAAATGTAAGGATTTCTTCAAAAATTGTCCCTTCCCTTCCAGAGAAAACAAATAGTTTTTGTTCATTCCAATGGAATGAACCATTCCATTCCTTCTCCAATTTCGCCATTACCAAACGTTACTTGAGAGTAGCAGTTGGTGAAAGGGAGTACAGCCTCGAGCTTTAGGATACCCTCCCTCGTCTCCAATTTGTGGGTCCCATTTCCATTTCTAGTCATGAAATGGGACCCATAAAATGAAAAATAGGAAATGAAAGAAAAAAACCATAATAAATGAGGAAAATTTTGTAAACCGTTAGGACTGAAGGGGAAAATCTCATTTTCCTGACTTTCTTTATTAAGTCGCTTTTTGTTTTTTTTAAGTAAAAAAACAACCATATATAAGCTTACGTGATTAAGTTTTGTCCTCATTAATTCCATTTAGTAAAAAAAAAAACAGAATCTTAGAGTAGAAATTAGTGATGAATGACTACAAACCTTGAGCTCTAGAATTCTCTGAAACTCGGAAGGTGTTCCCTCGGGTAGAAGTGCTCCATATGTATCTGCTACAGAATCAATAGGTGACAATATAACCTGTATATAAACATATACAACAGAATAAGTACACATGTCAACCATAATGTTCTTGAGGCTGCGTTTGTAACACAGGGCTATTTTCAATGATGAGGGTACTCACGTCTTTTGCAAAGATGAGAACAAAAATTCTTATTTTCTTTTTCCATTGATATCAGTCCAATGCATGCCAAACATACTACAAAGTCGTTTTGTTTTGTTTTGTTCTGTATTTATTGTTGTGTTACTCACCTTCAAGAGTGCTTCCGCTTTGCTCATTTCACGGCTTACAAATTTTGAATAGCCAGCAGCTCCTATTGCCTGTTAACAAAAAACACTTTCTAATTAGTAACATGACAATCTTATATAAAATGTGACAAATGAGATAAAAAAACAGCTTCAGATTTGCATTTTCTCCATCTAATTCTATCACACGAACAAAAATCGTTGAACCAACTGTTAGTTTATTAAATTGCAATATTCATTCTGACTAGGATTTAATGGCCAACCATGAAATTCCCAAAATACCCTTTCAACTTATGAACATGCATGATTCATATTTGGGTCCTACATGCCACTAGATTCAAAGGTGGGTAAAGTGAAAAGAAGCCTAACAACTAATGGAGGGCATTCATGTCTTTTTGTATTGGGCAAAACAATTGCAGTTGGATGGCAAATAAAGTTTACCTGTCTTCCAAGGGATGGAATATCTAAAAGAATTGTCTTTACGGCTTGAGTATCCAATAACATCTGCACAAGAATCACATGTTAAATTTCATATATTGATTTATTTGCAAAATGCTAATAGGAAGAAAAAAGAAGAAGTTTAAGATGATTGATACTTGTTGAGCTCCGGTTTCTGATATCTGCTTGCATTTGAAGATATTGAGGTAGAAACGTGGACCTAGAGATGAAGCCAGCTGCACCATATAATGAGATGATGATTTAAGTGATGAGCACTTTGAAGTTACAGTTTTTTTTTTTTTCATGAAAACATAATCGAACTGAAAAACCCAAAACGCTGTTGTTCTGTGCATAATTAATTGATTAAGTATTTCTAAAACTAAAATACTGAACATGCATTTATTGTTTCCTTTGAAAATTAAAATATGAGTATATTACATTTTTGGTCCCGAGTATAGCTGTTTTTTTTCAATTTGGTCCTAACAAGTTTTCTTGCAGTTTTGGTCCTTATTTGAGATATTTTTAATGTTTTGTCCTTATTCCAAGTAAAATGACTATACTCTGGGGAGTTGGGACCACAATTGCAAAAAATCTGCTATACTCAGGGACCAAAAATAGTCATTTTACCAGGTACAGAGACCAAAAACGTTACAAGATCCTCAAATAAGGAGCAAAGAAAACTTTTTGGGACCAAATTTGCAAAAATCAGCTATGCTCAGGGACTGAAAATATAGTTACCATGTCTTTACGATCCTCTTGCATTATTTTTAGTAGATTACTTGTTTTTTTTTGCTAAATACTATTCCAATGGTTAATAAAAAAACATAAAACTGTTAAAAAACCAAAAAGAAAAACAACCACTTAGTAAAACTTTTAAGAGTATATTACATTTTCTGTCCCTGATTATAGCTGATTTTTGCAATTTTGCTCCCAAAGATAGTCATTTTACTTGAAATGGGGATCAGAAACCTCAGGGACCAAAATTGTAATTTACTTGACTTCTATTGACTTGGAAGTAAAAAAAACAAATACAATTGTCTGTTTTAAAAAACCAAACTCTAGGAAAAATTTAGTAAAACTTTTAAGTAGGAAGTGTCATCAGGGAAATAAATAATGCATGGAATAGAAATCATTCACCTTATCCAAGAAGAACTGAAAGTAAACTGGAGAAAGAAGGCTTCCAAGTACAGGAACACAGCCACTAAGAATCATATTTATGCTATTGACATATCTGCAACACAGTGAATAGATCATATCATATTCATGCATTTGGTGTTATAAAATATTGAGAAATTAAAACTCCCTTGTAAAAACCCAAGGGTAAAATGGTAATTTACTCACTCAATCCAAAAAAGAAATAGAAACAGGCCCTTACCCTGATTGGTCACCCACACTTTCAAGCATACCCCAAGGAACACGTGTCATTGCAGCCATTTCAACCTCAAATTTGGTCTCTACGCCATGCACTAACGTGACTAATGCTTTTGTTATAACTGATGAGAATTCATCCTGCATAAATAAAATGATCATTCTGAAAAAGGGTATTTACATCTTTTCAAACCTAAAGCAAGTCTCTGTCCCACCTTCAAAAATTGCAATGGTTGTTCCATTGACATGAGTCCCATCCAATGCAAGTCAAACATAGTACAAGGTGGTCATGTCATGTCAAGAAAAGACTTATATACCCTTGGTTTGTAATATTACCTGGACTTCTGACATATCCACTGAATCAGCCAATTGGGCATCTATAATTTTTGAGACATTTTCAGCCAACTCACCAGCCTGTATAAGTAATGAACTCAAAGTTACTGCTATATAGATTAGAGTAAATTACACGAATGGTCCCTATGGTTTAGGGTAATTTGCACGTTTGGTCCCTAACTTATTTTTTTAACTCGGATGGTCCCTACTGTTTGCTTTTGTTACGTGCATGGTCCCTATCTTAGCTAAAAAGACTATTTTTGCCCTTGATTTTTTAATCTATTTAAATAAACACACCTCCAACCCCACCCCTCACATTACCTTACATAACCTACTATTTTTCTCTATTTAAATAATAGTCTTTTTAGGTAAGACAGGGACCAAGCGCGTAACAAAAACAAACAATAGGGACCAAACGAGTAACAAAAACAAACAGTAGGGACCTTCCGAGTTAAAAAAATAAGTTAGGGACCAAACCCGCAAATTACCCCAAACCATAGGGACCATTCATGTAATTTACTCTATAGATTACTCAGGAAAGGCTTTCTAACAAGGATAAAACATTTGTATCCTTATAATGGGGGTATTTTAGTCTTTTAAAAAAACACTGTACTTTTTTTTTACAGTTTAATCATGGAAGAATTTTTTTCTGACCGAGAGTTTTTTTTTTTTTTTTTTTTCTTCCATAAAACCACTTCACAAAACATTGAATTCTGTAAAAAGTAAAAACCACTATAGCATTGGAATTTGTTCATTAACCATTTGAAGAATTTTTTTTTTACGATTTAACCATTTAAACTTTAAATAAATAAAAACTTTAACTAGCAAAATATTCTTCCGATTGTTTTGCGAAATTCATTACCAGAAAAAACTCTTTCAGTGGTTTTTTAAGAAACAAACTCTCAGTGGTTAAACCAGGAAAAAAAAACGTCTTTAGGTGGTTAAACCAAAATAAAGAAAACAAAGTACAGTGGTTTTTATGGAATTTGGCCAACAAAAAGGGAAGGGTTCCTCCAAACTTGGAAGGAATGGTGAATTCCATGAAGGATGGAATGTGAAGGATTCCGACGGAATCGAGTTCTCTCTATTTGGCCACCAAACATGCCATGGAACAGCATCTCGGATTCCAATTCCGTCAATCCACAAACCAAACTCCCCCTTAGAGTAAAACTCTATAACATTTTGAACAATTACAGAGTTGGGCTACATATTATTCTTAAGATTTTCATCACAAAGTCAAACCGATCAACTTTTGTTTTTTGACAAACATACCCTGATGACACCTAATCGAAACCCACAAACGAATTTGTGAACTAACCGTTTTATGACAATATTCAGCAGTGTTGACTATATAGCATATCAGCCTTTCGTCTTTATCAGATGTCTGTATTTAGAGGCATATAATATGTTGGCATAATAGCAGAAAAAACAGAAAGCAACAAGATAAAGTGGTAAAAAAAAAATAATAAAAATAGTGAATTATACCTTGATGTGTCCATCCATACCGGTGGCAGCTGCAACAATCCCCAGACCACCTTTTGGCAGCTTCATGAAAAGCTTTGTAGCATAGGCTCTAAGAACTCTCTTGAAGACCTGCCACCCAAAAACCATACATTTTTCAGTTATTAGAATAAAAAAAACACAATTTAAATCCCCAAAATAAAAATCTTTAATACGCGTAAAAGAAGATATAGTAATAGCACCAAGTAAGAAAATTTAAGAAAGAAAATGTAATGTACAATAAGTGTTTTCCCCATGCAGCCCACATTTTTCCCCATTACACCCCTGTATAATATTTCAATTACCTCTATATTTATCACTTGAAAATTCATAATTTTTTTTATACTAAAACACAATTATAAATTCATTATATTTTTCATTATATATAAAATCTAGATGTTCTATTTAAATAAATGTATTAAATGCTTATTCCTTTATCATTATGTTAGGCATTTGGTAGTTGATATTAATTTACTAATTTGTTGTCATTAATATTATATTAACAAAACTTTTCTCATATGCTTAATAACATATGATGTATATCAGTTTTCACTGTTTTAATTTTATAAGAGGTTTTTCTAATATGTGAATATAACTTATATATTAATATGATTTTCTTGTCTATATCTGAATATTATTCTTAAGTTTTCATTTAGGAATTAGATACTAGAGACTTAGAGTTTATGGTTTTTTGTTAGTTTGACGTGTACTGAATCAGCGTTTCAATATTTATTTTAATAATTTAAAGTTGTAACTATTTATCAAAAGGAGATTATTAGGTATAGCATTATAATGAATACATAATTTTATAAATTGCATATTTAATTAAACCAAATACTAAAGCAAATTCTAAGACCCGGAAATCCAAACCGATAATTCCTGATATATTCGGATAATAGGTAAGAGCATAAAAATAAAATTTATATTCTATAAACTAAATGTGTGATTAACAAACAAATGGGTTCACATTAACTAGATGTTGATAATTTGCAGCCCTCACTATCCTTGATATATGACTATGAACAACATTCAAACAATTTATCCATATTCATAAATACCTTGAACAAATTTAGGAGTGTCTGGTTTCTTGTCAAGGCACAACAGCGTTTCAAACTCCTTCTGATGATTAAAAAGACCTTTAGCAAGAAAAAAATTGACCAGGTTAGCAATTTGTCAGAAATACTGAATTTGTGAGACTACAGAATATTATAGATGTTGGAAAATGTCACTGCATCAGTGTCAAATAGGTGGGAAAAGTTAATTCTTTAATAAACTTCCATACAGTGGGAGATTTAACAAAAGCATAACGGAAATTCATTCATAGATTGATCGAAAAAGAAAATGAACTATCCAAATCTTGAAAACTCCTCAGGGAAAAATATATCTTAAGAACTTAATGTTACCTGCATGCTACTGGATAATATATTAGTCTGACTTCCATCATCCATATGCCATGTTTCATCCTGTAATTAATGCACACGTGTCAGCAAGCAAAAGCAAAAGACCAAAAGCTTCCGAATGAAAAGGGAGAGTGATATAATGTAATATAATACCTGAACAAGCTTCTCCAGATGCTCCATAAGAGTTCTCTCTTCTAATTCTACATATACCATCAAGTGTGGTTCAAAGCAAGACGATATAATACCACGAAAATTAAACTGCAATAACCATGGAAAGAAACTAATAATTAGCAGCAAATACTTGAAGAGTTGTGTCACAAATTATTATAGATGTTGGAAGATTATAATTTCTTCAAATATCTTCATTTTTTTAAAATCATTTGCCTGATGCCATGAGAAAACACGTTCACTGAGCCCATACTTAAAAACAGCATATGATAAGAGAAAATTGCATGGATGAAAAAAAACTTCATTTTGTTTTTGTTTTCAATGTCATTTCGGTATTTTCATTCGGTTCAGTTTTTTCAGTTTATATATTCTAAAAAAAAAACAATTTGAACCTATCAACCTAAAAAATCGGTTTTTTGAAATACCAAAAACAAATTGTTGTTTTTCTGTATCGGTTTTTTTACACACCCCTAGAAATTTGTGTCTAAATGGATAACACCTTTTTTCTGTAAGTACAAGTTCACATCAAACACATAATAATAATAATAATAATAATAATAATAATAATAATAATAATAATAATAACAGTTATAATATATAATAAAAAGAAAATGTACCCCAGCTCCAGGTACAGCCAAATCTTTATTTGCATCTTTATCCTGACATCAAAGAGGTAGCATGTAAAATATGATCCTAATTAGAACTAAAATTTGAAAAAATGAAAATGTAATTAGTAAAAAGGAACTAGTGTCACATACATCATCCTGGTTTCCTTGATGTGCAGCAAGTTTTCTCTCATATTTCTTTCGAATATCCATCACAATTTGGGTACTGTTTTCCCCTTTATCTACTTCCTCAATGTCGCTCATAACACTTTTGGTACTACTGCTACCGAATTTTTCTGCTAACTCTTCCTCAAACTCTATTGTCCGTTGCAATGCCTGTATGCATGTTCAACCAAAATAAACACAAGGAATTAAATAACACATGATTTTTTCAATCATTTTGGCTTAAGGAAGTAACAATATATAAATCTTGTATCCTGAACTTGTTGGATAGGCTAAAAGCAAGAAAAAATGTCATACAGTACAAGGCTTAGCAGAATCCCAGAACGACTCTAGAAAATGATGAAAAACTCTTGTGGATAAAGAGATTATTAACCCAATAACATGTCAGGATGAAAATGTGGAATCAGAAAACTAATCATCTCTTCATATAAACAAATACCATTTCCATTGCAATAGTGAGCATCAAAACAGAATAAGGGTCCACTTGGTATGATGGAACAGAATGAATGACAAAGGAATGGAATGAGCGATGTAATGGAATGGAACATTGATTTCCATTGACATGTTTGCTTGGCTTGAAGGAATGGAATGAATCAGTCGAACGTGTACGTATAATTAAAAAACTGCATAAAATTAAACTGATAAATAGAGAAAAAATATTATTTTTGAAAAAAATTAATCAAGTAAAGATATATTGTTTAATAAATTGCATATGAACATATTTTATGTCGTTTGAGATATATAGTATGTGTATATTAAATAGCCAAAAAATTATTTGTTTACAAAAATAAAAAAGTAAATACCATGCATGAAATCAGAAACTAGAATTATAAAAATACTTTCAGTTATTTTTTAGAAAAAAAAAACATAATAATTTGATTGAAGTTTTGCAATTTTATAGAAACATTAGTGTTATTGAAGATTATATAAATAAAATTAAGTAATTCAGAAGAAAAGGACCTTCATATTGTAGATGAAAACGTACAAGAAAAGCATTCTCAAATATTGAACAATCCATCAAATGCCACACAAAAGAATGCAGAGCTGAAATGAAGTTCAGTAAATAAAGATAACAGTCAGATAATGTGAACTTAATTATTAGTATTTACCAGAAGTAGTGTTCCAACATCCGGCTTCTCTTTCAAATTTTGAAAGATCTCAATAAGTTGTGTCCTGAAATCAAGGAAAATCTGGTATAGCAATTTATATAGAAGAAATAATATGAGCAATGATGCATGAGATTGATAAATACAGTATAAAACAGCATATGTCCTGAAAGGAAAAGAATTTTTTAGGTACTCCAAGTTTATAAAAATGGACAAATAACAGCACTAAATTTAAGAACCTATATATTATTTATGCAGACATATTGAACATATGCATACAAATGTCCTTGTAAAACCATTAGCAAATCATAATTGTTAAAATAATCCAAGACAAATCATATATACATTATATCTTTGGACATAAAGACACAATGACCTTTCTTCACTTCTAACTTGTTAACTATTTCACATTTTATATTGTATAGGTTTAGGTTATATGCACTAAGTCTAAACCTAATATAGGTTTAGACAAACACTTATTTTGTACACAAGAATATACGATTCACGCAGATTAAGAAGTAATAAACCTGTCCTTACATCTGGGAAGAAAAAAGGGAAAATTGCAGGAAATAGCAATGTACTTTACTCTGTTTACTAATATAATAGCAATATACTTGCATTTATTTACCCATAATAGCAACATATTTACATTTCTTACCGATAGTAGCAAATATATAACTCATAACAGCAATGTACTTGCATTTTTTAACATATAAAAAGCAATGTATTTACTCGTATTAGCAACACACTTACATTTGTTTATGATAATAGCAATATGTAACAAAAAAGTACAATGCTCATATTGGTATCAAAATGCAAGTACATTGCTATTATAGGAGGGAATAAAAAAATACATTGTTAGTATGAATACAAAGAAAGTAAATTGCCCATATTGGTAGTGAGAGTAAAGTATGTTGCTATTCTCTGCAATTTTCCCAAGAAAAAACAAAAACAACAAACCTTGTCAATTTGCAGAACTGAATACAAATCAAGTAATCGACATGCCATGAAGCAGGAAAAGTTTTCCATATTTCTTCATTTGTACGTAGTCGGCGTTTGATCCAAGCATATCTCCTCTCTGTTTTATCTAACTTTGCCAGCTCTGATAAAATGCAACAAGTCTTCAGTTGAATGTATATCAATCTAAGAGCATCCACACTGGTTAACCCTTTAAAAAAGCTTATTTTATTTGCCACAACAACTTCCCACTAACTTTTTTTAACAAAATCCTATCTTTATAAATCTTCGCCCCCTGTTATTAAACAGTTATCCTCAAATGTTTTACAGGATCCCCTCATTAATTTTGTCGTTTTTTTAAGCACATGTCATATTTGAAATTGGTGTCATTTTGATAAAAATATGTTGTCATATAAATAAAAGACTCTACAATATTATATGTTTTTTCGTATTTGATATTGGTGTCATTCTGATCGTCTTGACAAATGCCTTTTATTGACATTTTTTCGATAAAAAGATGTTCATTTTCAAAAGATAATAAAGATTTACAATAGAAATATGATTAAAAGTGACAAAAGGATAAAAACAAAATAAGCGCTTACGAAGAAATAATTGTTTTTTTTTAATAAAAGTTTTCTTCTGCATTGTTAATAGGCTTTTGAAAAGCTTGTAATAGTAAAAATCTTAAAAAAAAAAAAAAGTATATAAACTTGAAATGGCAGTAGGAAGATAAATAGTTAGAAGTACAAACCAGCTCCTTCAAATATCTGTTTGTAAGAAATAAGCTCCCAGTTGCAAAAGTTCTTCACCAACTCTTCCCTCACTGATGGCTCCAATGCATCAACAACCAAAACAAGCATCTGATAATTGCTGCAGCAAATTACTTTCCTCAGCATCTTTTCCTGTACCTAAGCTGGGATATAGGAAATAAGGTGCTTATAAGTTCAACAATATACACACTAACTTAATATAATATGAATACTAATGCTCTGAATATGATATAGAAAGAGTGTTTGAACTTTGAAGGGGTAAAAACTAAAAGCAGGCTAGTGTTTCCTATGATGGAATCAGGAAAGCAATTCCATAGGAATGGAAAAAAAAAAAAAAAAAAAAAAAACCTTGTTTGCTATGCTTACACCTGATGAAATGAAATGGACCAATCTTTCCATTTTGTTAATGTTCTTTCCTTAGTCCTTTTTTTTTCATTCCAACATGGATAGGAATGAAAAAAATGCAATATAACCCATTTTTAGTGACACAACTACTTTTAATTATCTAAATCAAATTACAATTTTATGTTTATTATAACTTCTTTGGGGTTTAATGAGTTTTACTATGCTTAAAACTTTTCTTTTTGTAAATAAAAATTGTTTGATTATATTTATAATGATGTATATAATAGAGATCAAATTATATATATATATATATATATATATATATATATATATATATATATATATATATATATATAACGAAACATGATCATGGAATGTAATGACTCATTCCATCACCTAGCTTCCTCATTCCATTCCATCCAACCAAACTCACCCCTATAGTCTACATGTACAGACGATTAGCAATTTTTTCCAAGAAAACTTAAAATGAAAATAGATCAAGTCAAAACCTATTCCACAAAATTTCAAATTCACAGACCTGGAGAAATCAGAGAACACGTGAGACTTGAGAATTTGTTTGATGTTCTTGAACTTGTCTCTTAGCTCAGTGATCTTGGGAATATCTCTGTAGGCATCAAAATGACTACATAACTGATTGACAGCCTAAAACAAATTAAAGCATATATATATATTAGACAATTAACACACTTTCTTTTGGCAAAAAGTAAAACAACATAAGGTAAGCTAGCAACTTAAATACACTAAACTTAATAAACTAATGGAAAAGATAAATCAAATACCAAAGCTAACTAGAAGAGTTCTTTTTTCCATGTTTTTTGCATTTTAGGCAACCGACTATTCTTCTGCCACTAAAGGTAACTAACAAGATAGTTGGTTTCCTAAGATGGAAAAAACATGGAAAGTTGGTTGCTATTACAAGTAATTTATCCTATTTATAATGCTATCTAGTGGCTAACATGGTAGCATTATACTTTGAATCCTTAAGGGTGCGTTTAGTTGCGGAAAAATGGGCCGTTTTCCGGAAAAATTTTCCAAGAAAAATGAAAATTTTGAAAACGCGTTTAGTTCGTCTATTTTTCTAAATTTTTCACGGAAAATGAAAATTTTCCGTTTTCTAAAATTACAAAGAAGTTGGAAATTTTTTGAAAAACGATAATCATTGTTTTCCACATTTTACTAATTCCAAAATTTTTCCAAAATATAAACACACACTCACTCTCATCTCTACCTACCCCCACCTCTACACCTCCAACCCACCACACCCCTACCTACCCACACCCACCCACTCCCTAGCCCACCCCTACAAACACACCTACCCCAACCCCCACCCATACCCCCCCCCCTCCCCCAACACACACACACACACTCACACAAACACAAAGCCACCCCCACCCCCACAAACAGACACACACACACACACACATAAACAAACACTCACCCCTACCCCCAAACACACACACACACACCCATCCCACCCCCACCCAATCCCCCACAAACACACACACACACAGACACACAAACCCACACCCACCCCACCCCCACAAACACACACACACCCACACCCCACCCACACCCACCCCCACCCCCACAAACACACACACACACCCACAAACACACACAGACACACCTACCCACCCAACACCACTACCACAATCACCGACATACCATCACCACCACCACCACCACTACCCCATCAACACCACCACCACCACCGCCTGTCATCACCACCACCGCCGCCGACCCGCTACCACCGCCGCCCTCACCCCCACCCTACCACCACAACTGTTTTCTAAAAATGAAAACCAATAGAAAAATACACATCTAAACACGTTTTCTAATTTTCTAAAACTGAAAATGAAAAATGAATAAGTTTTAACTAAACGCGTTTTCTAAAATTTTCAATGTAAAATGAAAACGGAAAATGAAAACTGAAAAAGGAAAACGAAAAATAGAAAATGAAAACTGTTTTTTCGTAACTAAACGCAACATAAATATTTGAATGTCTATGTGATACAAGTGATTCTTATGTAATTATTCTATTGGAACTAATGTATAACCAGCTTACATACCTCTACCTGTGCAGCAGCCTCTTTATATTGTCGTTTTGAAGCCATTACTTGAAGTTGCTCGATTGCAGAGACTGTCACAATTAGCACAGGATATTGCAGTAAGAGCATGCAGACTCAAAATCAGTCTCTGTATTGATAAAACACCTTCTGAAGGAATACTTACTTACAAGTAAAAAACATTAAAGCACTTTGTCAAAATAGTGATTTAACCAACATTACTTGGAAGTTACATCTAGACTAAATAATTTGCAGCTAATCCGACTTTTTTTCTTTTTCTTCTGTCACTACCTAACTTGTAAAAAATCAAGAAAAGATGCAGTAAACATTTTATTTCTGGAAGTGGTTGAAAGAGATATGTTAACACGGTGGATATATATCAAGTGACTAGTTAGTTTTGTCAAGTAAATACAATGGAAAGGTAGCTTAAGCAGAATCAGGTCATTCCTACAATAAAAATACATATTGACAAGATGAGGAAAGCAAAAGCAGATAGAAGAATCCACATTGCATGTTGAGGATTAGGAGTCAAAGGGTAACTTTTTTTTTTTTTTTTTTTCCTTTTCTTATATTGAATTTTAGAATCAGAGTTCACTTCTCCTTTGACCAAGAATGTAAATTTTTTGTTTGTTTATTTTCTTCAAGTGATTTCCACTTTCATTGTGATGATAACAATTTAAAACTTAATCATCAAAAGGTGTTTTTTTTACCAGGATTATACATATTTAACCATGGAACCAAAGAAACCAAAAAGACACTGTGTTTTCATCATACACAAATTTCTAGTCACTTGATGTTTTGCCTAATAAAATATAATTATGCATGATGATCACATAGAAACAAAAATGTCAATAAAGTTGCAAAACTTATATAGAGTCTTCATACAGAAAAACCAACCTAGCATAGTAAGACGATGGAGTGCTGTGATGGTGGTTGTTATGTGCTTTTTTGCAAAATCCAGTTTTTTAATGTCACGACATATTTCTTGAACCATTGTTTCACTTTGCTCAGCTTTGGTTTTAATTTCTCTTACTTTAAACATGAGTTCCTGCAACAAAACCCAAGGTAGCACATGAAATATAACTCACTAAAACAAATGAAAAACAATTCTTGATTGCCAACAAAACACTGAATGCTGACAGACCTTCACAGCACTTGTAGCTGCAGCAAGATCCTCCTTTGCTTTGGTTCCTGATGTACTCTGCAAATGAAAAGTTTAGCAATCACATTACTTAGGTCACCCCAATCAAGTAAATGAATGGAGACATTATCATATATTCAGTTTAATAGTAACCGAAACTTTAGGGTGTAACTATCTTAAACTCTCAAGTGTAATATATGTTTATAACTTTGAGAAAAAGAATCTAAATGGAAATGTTATATAACCTGTTGACGAACAGCTCCTAGAATTTCAGCATCCACAACACGGATTTCATTGTGTATTTTCTTCATCAGTGGCTCGACTCCCGATAAAGATGCTTCTGGATATGACCAAATGTTAGTCAAAGAACAATAACTTGAATATAAGAAAAGACATAAAGAAGATCAAAACAAGATGGAAGATAGGAGATTATGGTACAGCTTAGTAGCAGTAGCTTCAAATAATATTAAAATGATATATACTAGCAATTGTAAGTGAACTGTAACATAAAACAAAACAGGTCTAATACTATAATTTTTGATTTTCTTTTTGGAGTCTTCAAATTTATTATATGTTTAATGATATAGAGGTTTTCATCTGTCTATGCTGTTAAGCTTGACATAACTAGGTGCTGATGACACATGGTCTAAAGCACTTTCCACTCTCCATCATACTAACTGAGGCAATCTGGGTGATTTGTGGCAATCTGTTGACTAGTCCATTGCTGATGTGGCAATGGCAGCTAGTTTGTTGTTCAATCCTTGCAATTAGTTGGTTCATCAATTAGTTCAAGGAGTTATTATCTTTTCATATGAATGATAGGTCATTTATGCTGGTGGATGGTCATTGGAATCGCATATGAAAACTCATATTCTCTGAACCATTGTCATCTCTATATTCTCATGTTGTTAATGGAAGATTGCTAGCTCTCCTTCCTATTCTCCATTAATTCAGGCAATTACCTGTAAATCTTGATTACTATCTTTCTAGAATTTCCTTCCTGTGTCACTGAATGTGTTCAGAAGCGAGCAATGATAACAGAAGGGAAAGAACGCTCATACACAGTGAAAGTAAGGTAACAAAAAAGTACGTTACTATTCCTCCACGGTAAATCATAGTAATAATAGTCTCAATTTACCAATTATCCGGTCCATCTACTACGTGAAGCGTTTCATTGACCAAAGAAACGAAACTAAATTCACGTCGTTCAGGTAGGTTCAAGTGTGAAATAGCTAGGTTCACTGCGTTATGTCCTTCGAGTACACTATGTTTTATGGATATTGCGGAAACAGTATCTCCGTATGATCTGATTTCGAAACATACACGCAAACAGGAGCATACAGAAGGTGAAATAAACTAACCCGTAGGAAACATCTTGTTAATGTACTCCACAGTACCACTACCAGCCTTCTCCATTTCGCTGCCTATCCGATTCCAAAATTCTATTTCTGCCAAATTCAGAACAGCAAATACAAAATCAAGACGAATTTATCAATGATGAAGAGCGAAGTAATTGAGCTTCAAAAACAACACATCAGATAATGCAAGTGATGTCTGGGTTGATGCACCGGGTTTTATACCCATGTGGGGCGTGAGGTCGGGAGTTCTATTCCCTTAAACTACCGTGCCACATGTGGGGAATTTTTCCCTGAAAATCCCTATGGGACTGGGTTTGCCCGAGCTCGAACCCGGTGCTCGTGCTCCACTTAATTCCTTTGCCGTTTCCAACAAAAAAAGATAATGCAATAATGTCGATGAAATTTAACACGATCACACGTATACATATACGAAATTGACGCCCATAGTAGCAGAGATCTAAATCACCTAATTCGCCAAAAAGAAATGCATGCAGTCGTTGAATCGCAATTGAGGACGAAAACGTTGGAATCCGGTGGCCGGTGTGGGAGATTTCGGAATACAAGTGAAACATGATATTAAGAAATAGGGCAAATGCCATAATAAAACCCTAAACTATTTGATCATTATCAAATTTTGTCACAAACTTTGAATTTATTTCTCAATTGGACCTTGTACTTTGATTTCTTTCCGGTTTTCCCACAATCTAAAACTTCAAAAAGAGGGAGAATTTCATATATACCCTTATATATTAAAATCTTCAAAAATAAAAATATAACAAAATGGACCATAATACCCTTCACTTCTAAATCAGATCCATTACCTGCTTGTGATTTAGAACCACGATCGATATCTTAACCCTGCGTCTTTTTTTTCGCGCCTTCTGCTAATTCTTTGCTGCAACCGGATAATCATCAAGTAATTTTATGTTTTGTATTTGTTAATTGATTATTCAATTCGTGACTCCAACTATGTACAACTTCAAAAATCGCAGGAACTCATAACACAATCAGCTATAAAACTGTAGGTGATTGTAATTCCATCGTCCTCCTTCTTTCCCTTTCTCAATCTTCAATTTCCGTTTGGTTGATGTGGTGAATTCAGAAGAATTCAGGGATATTGTTGATGTTCGTTTGGTTGTTGTACTATAATTTTGATTTCTACTTTTGGTGAATGATTGATTCCCATTCATGTTATTTGTTTTGCCAAAATTAAACAATTTTGTTATCTCCACGGCTTTCTGGGCGTATAAGGTAAAGAATCTCATGTACTTCTTCTTACTTTCTTTATAGATTTATTCGACTAGTACTATAAAGTGGTTATTGTGTGTCAAAAAACATAATCATATTCAGGTGAGGGTACTAAAATAGTGATTAAACGTGATTATTTATAATATTTTGCAGATCATTTCGCCTTAAAATCTGCCGATTGATCCCCAATGTCCTTTATTTTTGCAAGATGGGTAAGCATTCATACACGTAATTTTGACTTTTCAAGCCATAATTATCATATGGAAGCTAAAAATTAGGTTTTACAAAATACAAAATGTGTTTATCTTTCATTTTCTTGGAATAAAGTAATGATTAACATCTTTGTTCTATAAGATAATTCTTTTAGAGGAAAGACTGTTGATTTCTTTTATATGATCTTATTTGGTGCCACTATTTTGATCACGTTTGTACTTGTTGGAGGGATTTCTTTTAAGATATCGATCGTGATTCCAAATCTCACAGGTAATGGATTGTTGTGATTTAGAAGTCAAGGGTATTACGGTCCATTTGATTATTTTTTATTTTTGATGATTTTGATATATAAAAAACTCTCCTTAAATAATAAAAATTGTTTAAAAAAATAGATTTGGGCAAATCCGATATTTTAACACATTAAGAAGGGCAAATACGATATTTAGAGTTTAGGTCGGATAAATACGATTTTAGATGTTTAATAAGGGTATATATGAAATTCTCCCTTAAAAAGATAATAAGAGGACATTTGGTTTGCTGTATTTCATAAGATTTCACTGGAAGGCGTATTCATTTCTCATCAATTTTTGTGTTTGGTTCAAAAAGTGCAAGAAGTTCAATTTTTTTTTTAAAAAAGTGAATAAAATAACTTAGAACCCGTTTGATAGGCATCTTTCCAAGTCCAAATAAATCTTTCTGGCTGAATAGACCGAAAAAACTATTTGATTTGCACAAAAAATAGGTATTTCTCGGTAAGATATGTCTTTCCCAGAAAGCTCCAAAATCATATCTTTTTGGCTGAATGGGCTGGAAATACAATTATGTCCCAAACTTCGCATCTTTCTTTCTTTCTCGGATTATTAAATTTTTTTAAATAACTTTTTTTAAATTGATTTTTTATTGAATTATTACTTTTTTAATGTATTATTTTATATTAAGAAATATTATTTTAATATATAATATTTATGTATTAATAAATATTATTTTATTGGATTATTAATTTCTTTTAAATAATTCTTTTTTTTTTAATTTCCTTTTTATAGATTAATTCTTTTTATTGGATTATTATATATTCATAAATAATATTTTATAATATATAATATTTATATATTAATAAATATTACTTTATTGGATTATTAATTTCTTTTACTTAATTTTTTTAATTCATTTTATTGGATTAGTTCTTTTTTTGGACAACACCACCACCATCCTAATTTATTTTAAAAAATCTCATCCATCCCACCACTATCGGACATAAACCAAAGTCATTTTTCATCATTTAGCACAGTCAGTCAGATGTACAATCAAACAACATGATTTCTTTCCCAGTCAGAAAACTTTCCCAGACAGAAACTATCAAACTGGACCTTACTCCAAAAACAATTTAACAATCCACCGTAACATGGATAAAAATTTAATTCCTACAACATTCTAAGTCATAAGATATTAGAGTAAACTAGAGTGATATTACCCCTGTTTTGCGGGGCCGTAATCTCTTTTATTAGGCAAGGGCTATTTTTTATTTTTTGAAATATATAAACCGTTTCTGTAAAAAAATATGCACATGGATCCTTTCTGTAATACAAAGACAATTTTTGTAATTTATTTTTTACACAGAGACCAAACCTATCAACATACGTAGGGGTGGGAATCGATTCGATTTTTTGGTTTTTCGGTTTCCTTGGTTTGAAAACTTTTTTTGTCCAATTCGAAAACCAAACCAAATCGAATTCAAATTCGCTAGACCAAACCGAAAACCAAATTCTAATTCGGTTTGGTTCGGTTTGAAAACCGAAGAAACCAAATATTAACTTAAAAAAATTTAAAACATAAATTAAAATGTTTTTAACATAAAAACCTAAGGTTGCAAACAGAAAGATCTAAAGTTTCATACAAAATGATCCAAAGAGTAAATGGGTTAAAATGAATTTTACTTTATAATTAATACTTTTATTTAATATAAAATATAAAATATATATTTTAATTAATTGATTTATGAAATTCGGTTTTTCGGTTCGGTTTTGTTTAAACTTCATGAGACCGAAACTCGAACAAAAAACCAAATTCACAATTCGGTTTGGTCTCAAACCAAACCAAAAACCGAATTTGAATATGGTTCGGTCTGAAATTGATTTCGGTTCGATTTGGCTTTCCGGTTTTTCGGTTCTGGACCAAATAATTCTCACCCCTAAACATACGAAAGTCTTAAACATATGAACCGTTTCTGTAAAATAAATTGCATACCTTTTCTATAAATTAGTATATATTCATTTCCCGATTGTAATTAATATATATAATAATTACATAAATGGTCATTGTGCTTGTCAAGTAATTGTATTGTCAAGTCAAATATTTTCTCTTCTAACCATATGATTCGTATATTTGTCATTTGTTACAAAGAAGGTCGGTAAATTAACTATGGCATAAAAATGATTGAAGTATGTTTATTTATTTTCTTTTAATATATTTTTACTATTTTTTTTAAATGATATTAAATGTAACCCCCCCACCACCCCACTCACTCTTACCCTCCCTCCATCACATATCTTTCTCTCCTCAACTAATCACCATCATCTCTTGCTCTCTCATCATTCTCAAACACATTATCTCTCGCTTTCTACATATTATAGAAACGGTTAAGCTGAGGTGCAACTATAAGGTTGTGGAAAACACGTATAATAATTGGATTGAACTGGTTAAGTAAGTTGGAGGTGAAGTCATTTCGTAAGTTTGTGTGTGTAAGTTTAAGTGTAAGTGAGTGTGCGCGTATGTGTTTTTTAGTTGTAAGCAATTACACTGAAATTGAAGAAGTCGAATGTAACAACAAAGTATTACTTATTGTACTCTTTTACATCAAGTTTAGTGGTTGAACCTCGAATGGTCCACGCTGTAGGTTGAAACATGGTTAAATTTTTGTCCAACAATGCTCGTTTGATCGGTTGTAGGAAGCAATGAGGAAGACGCTTTGAATACAAAAAAGAAAGAGGGTTAAAACTAATAGGCATAGTTACAAAGACTATTGGCAAAATGACGTTGTCCTCACATAAGTGAGACTCAGGGTCGACCCTAAGCATATGTCGGGTGTGCAACCGCACAAGCCAGTGTTGTTTAGGGGCCTAATTTTGTATTTTCTATACTATATATTTTATATATAAACATTTTTTAGAATCATATAATAAAGACCTAGTTATGGAGTTGGATAAAACGTCTGGCTTTCAAAGCTTGTGGTGCAAGTTAGAAACTTGGTGGTAACGATTGTGGTTTTTTATTTTACGTTTTTATTCCACCTCCATCCCTGAAATTGAACCATACATTAGCATATTAGTTTAGATTTTTTATTTTTTATTTTCTAATTATTACTTATAATTCATGAATCATAATTCTTATGTATTAATGAATTCAAATGAAAAAATATATATATTTAGGGGTTATTTTTTAGTCTTTGTATAGGGACCCTAAACTCAACGGACCAGACCTAATGGGACTAGAAATGATAGATTTGCACTCGTTTGGTAGGCAGACGAACATCAAAAATCAACAACATTAAAACCCATTTGGATTTCAAAAAAGAGTCTAAAAAAGGCAGAAGAATGTATCGAACCTGAACAACATTAGTAACAAACACCTAAGTTTTTAAACGATTTGTGAACTACCTTGTACTTATCTCTGGCGGTGAATGAAGCATGCGTGAGTCGCACTATCGTAGGGCAGAGTCCCAAAAAAATTATACTACCATTTTTTAAGGGGTATCCCAGGCTACCCCGGGCTCCAAGGTGGATCCACCTATGTTGGTGGGTATACAGTAACGCCTAGTTTCCGAGTTGTAGCAGAGAAAAGAAAGTAAGGAGGAAAAAGAAAAGAAAGTAAAAGAAAAAAAAAATCCGAAAGAAGTGGAAATAAAAATTAAAGATTTTGTTATTTCTCTCCAAATTCTTTAAAATCGGAAGGAAAGTGATCATTCCATTTCCTTACACTTTCTTCACACTTCCACCAATTTTGTTTTATTTTTTATTTTTTTTCCTTTGTTAACTGCCAAAGCCGAAAGAGATGTGAAGTGTGGTGTGCTCATGTGGAGTGATGTGAGGCAAGGTGAACACTGCCCCTTTTTTTT